CCTCCCCGTGAATCACACCACATGCCTGAGTACGTTGTCCAAATGCTTCTTGAACTCTGGCATGTTTGATGCTGTGACCACTTCCCTGGGGAACCTGCTCCAGTGCCCTCTGGGTAGGAAAACTTTTCCTAATACCCAATCCAAACCTCCCCAACACAGCTTCATGCTGTAACAACATAGGTTGAACCACTTCTTTTAATGATTTTGTTGTTCTTTTCTTGGGAGTGTATGGAATGTCAGAAAAGTGAGCAAAATTTTAGTTGCAAAAGAATGTTTAAAGAATTCAACATGCCCTTATCTTTACTCACTGTATCATTCTGGTCCAGACTGACAGCCCAGCAGAAGGTAACTGTGGTGTTCAGAGTTTCGGCTGGAGACAGGGCACAGTTGAGGTGCCTGTGATTAGCACTATACATCTCAATAAATAATTCTTGATTTCATTGTAGTATTTAAGGAAGGGAGACTTGGTTAAAACAAATGCAGATTGATTTGTCAAGCAACATGCTTCAACCTTGGGTGCCTATGCATTATGATCAATAATGTTTACAGTCTCTCTCTGTCTCCTCAAAGAGAATGTGCCTCCAGTTGAAGGGAATGCGATTCGCTTCTGCTGGTGACATTTTATAACTGTGGAAACCCATTTCTGGGAAGCCTTTTTGTTTGATGTCGGCAAAGAAATAAAATTCATCAGACATGCAAGATGTGAACGGTCATGTGCATAGACTTTTTTTTTTAATGGAAAGAGCAGAGATCGATAAAGCTCAGAAGAAGAAGGTAACAGCTGTAAGCAGCCTTGTACTGGGGCTGTAATCCTGATGAATAATGTTGCTGTCATAACAGCAGGGATAATTTAATGCTGACACTTAGCAGCATGATAAATAGCTTGTCAGACATAGGCAGTGACAGAGTCAAGTGAAACTGCCCGTGACAAGTTCTGAAATATTAATCTTCTACTAGACTGTGACTGTGCTGAAGGGCCAGTAGCGTACAGAAGACTTGGAGGGGAGACACTTTGTAATATAAACAAATGTATTTTAGGACAAAATACTGTTATTGTGCAGAGATATTACCCTTTACAAATGCTGCTATTTATAATATTTCTGTACAGAACTCCGAGCATTTATGCTTTGCAACAGTATATTGTATTTTTCCAGCATATACTCTGACAAAATTTCTCTGAAATCTTTCCCTTCCTACTGGTAAGAGGCATTTGGGTTTAGGGGATTTTTTTTTCCAGCCCATATACCCTTCCAAGGATTTTTCCAATTTACCTAGGATTTTTATTGCGAATGTCACATAAGCAACATGGCAGGGTTCTCTATGCCAAACACCAATTGATTTATGAACTGCTTCTCCATTAGAGATGACCTAGAGTGATGGTGTATGTAACAGGCTCTAGATATTCAAACCAGACTATTTATTTAGGTGTAATTTGCTTAATAAAGTACTATGCTATTTTGATCTTTGGGGAGATGAAGTTGTCAACACACTACTCTGAAAATTACGTATCAGATACTCTTGCATCTCTTTTGAATACTATTTAAATTATCAAGACTCCTTGTGACAGGCAAATGTTCTGCCTTCATTCAAAATCAGGGCTGAAATCAATAAAATCTGAGCAGGTTATGATGGACACGCACTTAATGAAGATAATGGCAGGATACAGAAAGCCAAATAATAAGACTTGAGATACTGTGCTTAGGGACATGCATGTGGTTTTGGCGCCACATCAATACTAAAAAAGGTCCAGTGGTCACAGTAGTGAAAAATATTTTCTAAAGTTTGCCAGTTTGCCATAATAATAATCATATTTCTATGACTGCAATCTAAAAGGTGATTGATCCCATTATAAAGATATGGGGCTTAATTACTGCAAATGTGCGTTGTTGTCTTTAAGGTAATAGTACTCTCATTTCTGTCTTGAAGAGAGTATAAATTGAGCTGCCAATGGAACACTGGCTCAAGGTCTTATTTATTCATTGATACAGTGTGCATGGAGTGAGAATGCTGCATGTTTAGCTCCACAGCCAGCACAGGACCTAAAAGTCTCTGTACCTACTCTGACAACTTATAGCCTTATCAGCACTGAAGAAAGGTGTCTGAACAAGGTCTGAAGTGGCTGAAGGAATGCCGATGTTTTCGCTGCTTTCATTCCCCAACTCGTGCGTTGGTCAAAGTGCCAAGTCCTGCTGTGCTGAAATCCCAAAGGAAACGAGTACAGTTCTGTGAAAGACCATGGTAGTTGTTAGTTAAAAGGCAAGGTGAAGTCTGCAAAGAGTTGAATTACAGTTCTTAGTATAAGAACTACTTCTTTGAGTTCGAGGAAGTATGATGAATACAGATTACACCAAAGTGGATTTCAGAGCAAGTCAAATGAAATGGGATTCTACCTTGGAGCAGAAGGGCCCAGGCTACTTTGCCCCTGTTAGGGAAAAAAAGAGATTGTGTTCTGTTTCTAAAAGCAGCACAGTATGTTTGAGAAATACAGTTCTCCTAGTACCTATATTTTTTTAACTTGGCTTATATATTATGTATGTATAATATTCTAATAATTTTGTGCTTTTGGGTCTAAATCAGCCTGTTGGTATTGATAGGTAGTTAACTTACCTAGGTGAAATATATTCTGAAACTATTATAGAAGGATACTTATACTTACCATGTATACAATTGCTGTTGTCTCCAGTGGTGAAAAAGTGGCCTGCTTTGGAGTCAGTTCCAGTATTAAGAGGAAGTTATTTATACTCAGCAATCACTGTTATAAGCACAGTGAGAATGTGACTTCTTGTTCTTAACATTTAAACAATGTTTCTTCTGCAAATGCACACAAACTTACAAAACAGGTTCAGCGGGGAAATTCATTTGATTCCAAGAGTAGCACAAAATTTTGCTAAAAAGCCAATAATGATAGATTTAGCTTTTTACTCTTACGAGGTATCACGTTTTCTGTATGCAATGCATATGTACCATAGTAATTCAATTAATGCTTTATGTCACCTTTTTATATAATACTTTAATCTAAACATTGCTGTGTTGAGTTTGGGATTTCTACACATTCTCCATATACTTTTGTTTTGCTGTGGGTTTTGGTGTTCGTGTTTCATTAATACTTTTGAAGTGCACACCAAGAAAAAATTTTGGTAAACAAATTTTTAGCACACTGATATAGGAATCTTATTCTTTGTCAAGGTGTAGAAGTCAATATCAGACAAATTTACATGGAGTTTTTAATGTTGTGCTGTAGACAGATATGAAGAAAATATTCATCGAACCTTAAGGCTAATGAGAATTAATAGTGGTTTCCTGTAGTTTGATAGTTTCTCTGTATATCTGGATTATTCCTATCATGTTACTAAGGATTTAACATAATTGGTGATAAGAGTGATATTCAGTTTTCTCTCTTTTTAAATATTAATTGTATTAAAAGTAAAAAAAAATAATTCCAATTAGTTAAATTTTTCTGAAATAGAAATCCAGTTATTTTTAAGAATCCCTGTTCAGTTTGTTAGAATACAGTAGTAACACTTTGAAATCAGGTAAACAGAAACAACTTGTTTTGATTTTTGTGGGGGTGGTTTTTTTTTTTTTTTTTTTT